GTATGCACGTTTGTCTGTCTATATGAATGTATGTATGCGTGCATGCATGTATGTATGCATGTAGGGTGTAGGTATGTATGTATTCATGTATGTATGCATGCACGTATGCATGCACGTATGTGTGTTAGTCTGCCTGTCTGTCTGTCTGTATGTATGTATATACGCATATGCATACACATGTGTATACATATATGAATATGTGCATGCATGTCTCTATGTATGCATGCATGCAACTATGTATGTGCGCCTGCATGCATATATGTATGAATGCGTGTATGCATTCATGCATGCACGTGAATAGATACACATATGTATGTATGTATGTATGTATGCATGCATGTATGTATGTATGTATGTATGTACGTACAAACGTATGCATGCATGTGTGCATACATGCATGCATGTGTGTCTGTTTGCCTGTATGCATGTATGCATGTCTACGGATATGTGTATGCATGCATGTCTGTATGTCTGTACGTCTGTCTGTCTGTCTGTATGTATGTATGTATGCATGCATGTATGTATGTATGCATGTAGGTATGTAGGTATGTAGGTATGTAGGTATGTAGGTATGTAGGTATGTAGGCATGTAGGTATGTAGGTAGGTAGGTAGGTAGGTAGGTAGGTGGGTAGGTAGGTAGATATGTATGTATGTATGTATGTATGTATGTATGTATATATGTATGTGTGATTTATGTATGTATGTATGTATGTATGTATGTATGTATGTATGTATGTATGTATGTATGAATGAATGAATGAATGTATGTGTGTGTATGTATGTATGTATGTAGGTAGGTATGTATGTATGTATGCATGTATCTATGTATGTATGTATGTATGCATGTATGCATGTATGTATGTAATGTATGTAATGTATGTAATGTATGCATGTATGTATGTATGTATGTATGTATGTTTGTATGTTTGTATGCTTGTATGCTTGTATGTTTGTATGTTTGTATTTAGGTATGTATGTATGTATGTATGTATGTATGTATGTATGTATGTATGTAATGTAATGTAATGTAATGTAATGTAATGTAATGTAATGTAATGTAATGTAATGTAATGTAATGTAATGTAATGTAATGTAATGTAATGTATGTAATGTAATGTATGTATGTATGTATGTATGTATGTATGTATGTATGTATGTATGTATGTATGTATGTATGTATGTATGTATGTATGTATGCACGCACGCACGCACGCGCGTATGCATGCACGTATGTATGAATGTATGTATGCTTTTAAGTATACGCATACAGATCTGTATGTATAACCAGCGTTACAGGCTCCAGGGGGCCCAGGCTCATTTCCTCATGGCGGTGCTGGGGCTCCAGGAGCTCTCTTTCGCGCTCCAAGACGGTCTATATGCCCTCCAAAACGGCCAAGCTGGCTCAAGATGGCCTCAGAGATGCCTCTAACACCGCCAAGAAGCCCCTCATCGGCCTCCAAGAGGCCTCCCAAGCAGCCCCTGAGAGGCAAACATGGTCCCGTTCCCGACGGAGAACTTATATGTTTACCATGTTCGCCCCTCGGGCTTTCACAGTGTCCAAGACGGCCCGAGAGGTCCCCAAGATCGTCCCGAGACGGTCCAAGAGGCTCCCAAGAGGGCTCCAAGACGACCCAAGAGGGCCCCAAGACGGCCGAAGAGGGCCTCAGGACGCCCCAAGAAGGGGCCCAGAGGGGGTCCCCGAACGGACATTTCAAGCTCTCCGCCCCCAGAGGTCCCCAGGAGTCCCCAAGAGGCTCCCAAAAGGTTCTCCAAGAGGCCCCAAGAGGTCCCCTAGAGACCCCAAAGAGGTCCTAAGAGGCCCCCCAAAAGCTCCCAGGACGCCCCGCAAGGCCCCCAAGAGCCCTCCCCCCAGACGCCCCGTTACACGCCTCGTGCGGACGCATGAGGCAGACTTCCCAAGGTACCCTGCCGCCCCTCTGGGGTCACTATATGGAGCTTCTTCGGTACCTTTTGGAGGGTTCGAGGGAGCCCCAGGGGAGCTCTATGACATGGGCGTTCAACAAATTAAGGGACCCTCATAACCTCCCGACAGCGCTCACGAGGTCCCCGAGATACCCACCAAGAACTGCGCGCGTCAGCTTGTCAAGGGCCGGGGCGTGCTAGAACCTAAGCGCACGCGAAATGCGCGTGGTTCTAATACGACATGTACACATGTACATGTATATCCCATGGACGGTGCTTGCACTTAGGGGTTATGATGTTCCAACCTACTTTAGCCTTGACCACCAGAAAGAATTTCGAGCACCAGAAACAGAGTACCGAAGCTCGAGGATTTTGACGTGTCGGGCCCTGGGAGACGCTCGTCCGACACTATTTCGACACTCTTTCGGCACTCTTTCGACACTGCTCCGGGTGCTCGACACTCTTTCTGGGATGTGGTCCTGGAGTACGATGGGAGCAACATGAAACTGAGGGGGGTTCTCTACTCAGGTTTGAAGGACTTGGATGGGTGTTCGTGCAGTCGGTGCCCTGAAGAAGGAACCCTTTTCGTTGGGGAGGGGCTCCGCGTTCCTCAAGTGTTTCGCAGCTTGCCTCAGGTTTTCGATACGAAATCGAAGTTCAACTCATGGAAAAAAGGGGCCTCGTTCCTTATTTAGGGTTCCTTAGGTCAAGCCCCCGACTGTAGGCTTCGCCGCGTGGACGCGCCGTGGGCGCCTCGTGGACGCCCCGTGGGCGCCTCGTGGGCGCCCAGGGTGCTGCGTGCGTGTGCCGAGGTGCCGCCCGTGGCCGCCTCGGGGGCGCTTCCTGCGTGCCGAGAGGTGCCGCTGCGTGGCCGTCCGCGGCCGCCCGCGGGCGGCCTGTGGGCGCCGGGCGTGCCGGGTGGGCGTGCCGAGGTTCGCCACGTTGCCGGGAGGAGGAGGGGGAGGAGGAGGAGGAGGAGGAGGAGGAGGAGGAGGAGGAGGGAGGAGGAGGAGGAGGTGAGAGGAGGAGGAGGAGGAGGAGGAGGAGGAGGGGGAGGAGGAGGAGGAGTGAGGGAGGAGGAGGAGGAGGAGGAGGAGGAGGAGGAGGAGGGCACACAGCTTGCACCTAGCTTGCACCACATAGCCTGCCCCGCATAGATTGCATCGCGCAGCTATTCTAGCAGAAATAGCTCTCACCACACGGTGGGCACCACACATTTCACACGATACGAGTTGCACCCGATATCTTGCACCGAAGAGCTCACCCACATAGCTTACATCACATATTTTGCACCGCGTAGCTTGAATCACAGAAATAGTTTACACCACATAGTCGACACCATATAGCTTACACCACACAGTTTGCAACACTTAGACTGCTAGCTGCTAGCTTGCACCGCATAAATAACACATATTCAGTGCGATAACTTACTGTTTGGGGTTCACCCTGGCAAGCATGCATAACTTACTGTTTGGGGTTCACCTGAACCATTATGTTTTGGGTTCTATTTGGGCGCCTAGGGAAGCCTCCGGCCTCCAGAGGCCTCTAGGACCTCTGGGGACATCTTCCTCCATGGGCCTCCGGGAACATCCGGGGACCTCCCCAGTGAGGGAGAGGAGAGTTATCTGAGAGAGGCACGTGAGCGCATGTGCTGGGGACGTCCGCGGACGGAAGATTTGCTGGCGCCCAGCCCCCTCTCCGCAGCTTCGTGGGCGGCGCCGTCGGCGCCGCCCCAGGCGCGCTTCCCGGGAAGACTTGCGGGAGGAGGCCCGGCGTCGGCGGAGGTCGGCCGTCCGAGGACGCCCGCGGCGAGCGCTCATGTCCTGAGAGGCCCTCGCGGTGCTGGCGAGGGCGGAGGAAGGGCACCCGCGCCTGCACAGGGTTTGGTGGAACACCGCTCTGAAGGCGTGCGCGGCTGGCGGCAGGGCGGATCTCGCCGTCGATGTGTTCGGGCGGATGGTCAGCAGCCGTGTCAGCCCCTCCGGCAGGACGTTCGGCAAGTTGGCGAACGCGGCCGCCAAGGCCGGACTGCTGGGCGAGGCATCGGGATGGCTGGACTGCGCTGCCAGGAGCAGGCTGGCGCCAGACCAGGTGCTCCACAATACGCTCCTGGATGCGGCCGCGAAGTCGCACAATCTCGCGGAGGGCGAGCGCTACTTCAGTCAGATGCTCGAGGCGCGGCTCAGCCCCAGCGTGGTGTCGTTCAACTCCCTGGTGGACGCCGCGGCCAAGCAGGGTTGTGGCGCGGCCGCCCTCGGCTGGCACGCCAGACTGCTCGAGCAGAGGCTCTCCCCGGACGCGAGGACGTTCAACTCGCTCATCAGCGGCTGCGCTCGGGCGGGGGATCTCGAGGGGGCAGAGGCTTGGCTGGAGGAAATGGCCGGTGCCCTCCTGGAGCCCACCGGTGCGACCTACAACGCCATCGTCTACGCGGCGGCCAAGAGCGAGCGCCTCGACAGCGCGAGGGCGTGGGGCCAGCAGATGGTGGCGCGCCGGGTCGAGCCCAGCGTGATGACATTCGGTGGCGCGCCAGGGGAGAGGGCAGTCCTCCTCCTCCTCCTCCTCCTCCTCCTCCTCCTCCTCCTCCTCCTCCTCGGGGCTTCTCAGAAGCCCCTGGGCTTCTCAGCAGCCGTCCGCGTCCTGCGAGCAGGCTCGGGGAGGCCTCTCGGAAGGCTGGAGAGGCCTTCCTGCGCCTTGCGAGCAGGCCCGCCCCCCTCTGCCTCCCCCACCCGGGGCGCTCCGCCGAGACGTACAACACGCTCATCTCGGCGGCGGCCAGGTGTGGCGACGCCCCCGGCGCGGAGCGCTTCGTGGCGCAGCTGCGCTCGTCGCGCCTGGCGCCCGACCGCGCGAGCTTCAACGCGCTGCTGGACGCCGCGGCGAAGTGCGGCGACGGGCGGATGGCGCACAGGATGTACCACGAGATGTGCGAGGCCTCCGTCGAGCCAGACGATCTCACATACAATGCCATGATCAACGGGTCCGCTCACGGGATCGACTCCCGATCAGCCGTGGGGTGGTTCAGCGAGATGGTGGCAAACGCAGGTCAGCCCGACCGCGTCACCTTCAACTCTTTGATGAACGCAACGGCCAGGACTGGAGACATGGAGGCGGCGCAGGAGTGGTTCCGCAGGATGCGCGAGGCCTCTTGCGCCCCCGACGCGCGGTCCTACGGCACGCTTATCAACGGATTTGCACAGCTGGACGAGGGCTCTGAGTCTGCGTTTCGTCGAGCGGACCACTGGTTCTCGGAGCTAGAGCAAAGTGGGCACGCAGCGTCGGTCATTCAGTACAATCAGCTCTTCCACGCTATGTGGAAGGTGGGCCCGCGCGGGCCTGAGCGGGCGAAATCGCTGTTTCAGCGGATGGTGGCCCAGGTGGTGATTCCGACCCAGATAACGCAAAAGATTTTGTGCAATATCCTTGGGCGTTTGGTGGTGTCTCGCCTGCTCAAGGAGGCTGGTTTCGACGAGCGCGCTATTGTGCAGGCAGGCGATGCCGGGCGGCAGAAGAGGCTACAGCCTGCTCCTCCGAGCCAGGCTTCCTCGCGTTCGCGCGTCAAGAGGCTGGGCCACCTGGGGATCGCGCCTGGGCAGCGGGGCCACACCTATTGAGCCATCGGAGAAGGCCAGGGCGCTGATGAGAGCAAGGTCAACCATACTCGGCATGGAGAACAAACAGAAGCTGAACATGCGGCAGTCTCATCATGCGATTGTATGGTTTATCCCTAGCTGGATATATCGCGCGCTGTGGAGGACCTTCCACGACGGACGGCTCCGTTGATTTGTCAGAAGGGGTGCTACGCACTCTCTCTTTACCTGGACTGCTCCTTGAGCAGTGACATCGAAGCTTTGCTGGTACCTGGCTGGGCAGTGCAAGAGAGGCGCAGCAAGGCTTTCTCACGCGAGAAGGCAGGTGAGGCATGCACTGGTGAGCAATGGATAAGGAGAGGATCGATAATTGTCACCCGACGATGCGAGGTCCGCGAGAGCCTCGTGGCAAAGCAGATCCTGCAAGCATCCGCAGCATGCAGAGAGTCTGTCTCCGAACCGATACTGCCAGCGGCTCGGACTGCCAGCCATGATGACATATAGTGGCTAATGGTGTGCTCCAGCCCTACCTGCAGACCAAGCCGAGTGATCCGCGCTGCAAGATCCGAGGAGAGCACAACGCCTCGGCGCGTTGTAGTCTGGAAGTGAGCGAAGCCGAGCCCCTGGGAGTCCTTCTGATTCAGCGCGAGCTGTTTCGCTCAGAGCAAGCTGCGCCAACATCCACCTGCATATACGGGCCGTGAAGAAAGTGAAGAAAGTAGACGTGCGCGCGTGTTTGCTCTGCTCAGAGGACATTATCATTATTATTCTTATCATCATTATTATTATTATTATTATTATTAGTTTCAACCAGTCTGTTCTGGAGTTGTCTTGCTTGCTGCTCCAGGAAGTTCGCCGTGCTGGCTTCGTATGTTGCGAAAACCTCGACCTCGTGGCCAGGGGTCACCTGCAGGTCCATAGACCTGCTTTCTATCCGTTTGTGCTGTCGTGCATACCCGCTCTTGCTTACCTGGAAGCATCGTTATAGAGTTGTACCACTGCATGTTCATGGCCTGAACGTGCCTGTGCATGAAACTGGAGTCTCGTTGAGGCTCCTGAAGGTTTTGGGCGCCGAGAAAAGTTGGCGCCTGGAGGCGCTTGGAGGCGTGTTGGGTGCCCGTTTGGTGTCTTGAACCCCTCACTAGAGTTCCGGTGCCGCCCTGGGAGCTAGGCCTTGGGGCTGTCCGCGGGGATCGTGCAAGTCTTCAAGGCGAGTGGAGGAGGAGGACGAGGAGGAGGAGGAGGAGGAGGAGGAGGAGGAGGAGGAGAGAGGAGTGGAGGAGGAGGAGGAGGAGGAGGAGGAGCAGGAGAGGAGGAGGAGGAGAGGAGGAGAGGAGGAGGAGGAGGAGGAGAGGAGGAGAAGGAGGAGGTGGAGGAGGAAGGGAGGAGGAGGAGGAGGAGGAGGAGGAGAGGTCCTCCTTGAGGTCCCCCTCGGCGCGCCGCCGATCCAACGGAGGCCTCCCGGGAACTCCCACGACGGGCGCGCTGGGGGCCTCCAGGGGGCCTCCGCCTGCTGCCGCTCTCGCGGCGCAGACCTCTGCAGGGGCCTCTCCAGGGTTTCCCTGCAGGGGCCTCCAGGGGGCCTGAAGACCTCTAGGGAGGAGGAGGAGGAGGAGGAGGAGGAGGAGGAGGAGGAGGAGGAGGAGGAGGAGGAGGAGGAGGAGGAGGAGAGACGGAGGAGGAGGAGGAAGAGGAGGAGGAAACGGAGGGAGAGGAGGAGAAGGAGGAGGAGGAGGAGGAGGAGGAGGAGGAGGAGGAAGAGGCAGGAGGAGGAGGGGCTCCTCGAGACGAGCGCTACACCAAAGCCTGTGAGCGACAGGCGTGAGGGGAGACTCGAGCGGGTTGCCTGGCCAACGGAGGATTGGAGCTTGTGCTTTGGAGGGCAGCTGTGGCTCAGCCTCCCCTGCTGCTTTCAGCCGCCTCCCGCACTGGCTTGTTCCGGTCTCGCCGCGCTCTTCCCCGCACCGCCGCGCTCTTCCCCAGTGCCCGAAGGATGGCGTCGCTGACGGAGAAGCACGGCTACGGCCACTCCCTGGGCTGTATCCCCAGGAAGTGGTTCGTCCTCGCCTTCGCAGTCGTGGCTGCCGGGCTTTGCTGGTTGCAGGCTCCGATAGGGCGAATCGGGGAGGGATGGCCAGGGTGGGGCATCGCGACGAAGTACTTATTTGTTTGACAGGACAAGGGGTGTTGGGTGCAAGAATGCACCCGTCGTTTTGGATACAAGAGGGTTGCTGTCTTATGTCCCCCTTGCCAGCTTCTGACGCTTCGCCCGAACTAGCAAAACCGATCCCGCGGAGCGGATAAGCACAGGCAAGACCCGAGGATTACCTCTTTCTGGTCAGGGTCTTGCTGTTCAGAATTGTGTGGATGAGCGGGGAGCTGAGCTCGGTGGAGCCGCGGTGGGTGGGTAAACGGGAGGGAAGAGCTGGGAGAGCGGAAGGCATGATCATAGGATAGGGCGTCGAGAGCTGAGGTCGGTGGAAACATGGTGGGTGGTGAAAATTGGAGGGAGGAGTTGGGAAAGCAGAAGACAGACTCATAAGGCAGGATGTCGAAGAGGGACAGCATGTGCAAGATTCTTAGTCATATGCTCGTGCCTCTTGGTTCTTGTCTTTGCAATTGCTCTTGCTCTCCTTCGTGTTGTTCGTTTTCAATCGTGCGTGCTGTTACCCGTGCACTTGCCCTTCAGCTTGCTATCGCAAGTTGTTGATGTCTCCATGCCGTTGCTTCCGCTCCTGATCTATGCAGATCTTGCCCTCCTCTTTGTTATTCTCTTCATCCTCGTACCCACGTGCTGAGCCTGTGCATTAGTTACTTTCTGGTCCCTTGTGATTGCCCTCTCCTCACCCTCTGCTCCTCTGCTTCCTCCCGCCCGTCTCCCTCCTCCGCTCTCGGGGGTCTGGGGGAGGGCGGGGGGGGGGGGCGACCCGCCGTGCCCACCACGGTCGCCCGCAGGTCCTGCACTGGCTGGTGGCCTCCAGCTTCTTCCGCGAGCTGGCCGGCTACCCGGCCGCGGGAGGGCGCGGAGGCGTTCTGCTCGACGTCCAGGGCTGCCTTTTCTTCTTGCTGCCGCTCCTCCCGCCTCGTGGCCCTGCCCCCTGCACTGTCTCCCTGCTCCTGTGCTTCCACGTCGTCCTCCTCGTCTTCTTCGCCTCGTCTCCTCCTGCGCTCGTCGCAGCCGGTCGGCGTCGTCGTCCTCCATCTCTCGTCTTCTCTTTCGAGGGGCATCTTCGCGGCTGCTGAGCAGTGGACGTGCGGCAAGTGCTGCTTCGAGCGCAGAGGTACTCGTTGCGCACGTGGCTGGGATCTGAACGGTGGCAGGCTGCTTATCCGGAAGGGCTTCGCCCCCTGCCGCCGGCCCCCTATCTCGGAGAATGCGCTATGCGAGAGCTATGTCATGAGGCCTGGGCGCCGTCGTGAAGCAGTATCGGAACTTCATGCGAGGTGATTCGTAATCGGCAAAACCAATTGACTTGTCGTGTGAGCCTGACCCCGCCGATCTGCGTGAGGGGTGCCATCGAATGTCAGAAATGTAGCAAATCCCTTGTGTTTTTGGACCCTGACCCCGCCGATCTGCGTGAGGGGTGCCACCGAATTTTAAACCATGTGGCAAATCACCTGTGTTTTTAGACCCTGACCCTGTCGATCTGTGTGAGGGGTGCCGCCGAATGTCAGAAATGTAGCAAATCAAATCCCCTGTGTTTTCGGACCCTGACCCAGTCGATCTGCGTGAGGGGTGCCATCGAATGTCAGAACTGTTGCAAATCCTATGTGTTTTTGGACCCTGACCCCGCCGATCTGCGTGAGGGGTGTCACGGAATGTCAGACATGTAGCAAATCCCTTGTGTTTTCAGACCTTGGCCCCGCCGATCTGCGTGAGGGGTGCCATCGAATGTCAGAAATGTAGCAAATCCCTTGTGTTTTTTTGACCCTGACCCTGCCGATCTGCGTGAGGGGTGCCGCCGAATGTTAGAAATGTTGTAAATCCAATGTGTTTTTGGACCCTGACTCCGCCGATCTGCGTGAGGGGTGCCGCCGAATGTCAGAAATGTAGCAAATCCCTTGTGTTTTTGGACCCTGACCCTGTCGATCTGCGTGAGGGGTGCCATCGAATGTCAGAAATGTAGCAAATCCCATGTGTTTTTGGACCCTGACCCCGCCGATCTGAGTGAGGGGTGACGCCGAATGTCAGAAATGTGGCAAATCCCTTTTGTTTTTTGACCCTGCCCCCGCCGATCTGCGTGAGGGGTGCCACGGAATTCGAAACATGTGGCAAATCCCATGTGTTTTTGGACCCTGACCCCGCCGATCTGAGTGAGGGGTGACGCCGAATGTCAGAAATGTGGCAACTCCCTTTTGTTTTTTTTGGACCCTGACCCCGCCGATCTGAGTGAGGGGTGTCAGTTTTTACCCACCCCAGCAATTCAGAGCATATGATTTCTCCGTGGTAAAAGGGCCCTTTTTGGGCCTCCCCCCTCGCGCGGTCCATCAACAAGGAGCAGTCAGCAGCAAGACGTCAACAAGGAACAGTAAGCAGCAAGAAGCAGAACTGTAACAGTGGAAACTGGAAGCTGCAACTGGTACAGGAAACTGCGAAGCTTAGGCCTACAGCCTGGTGGCCCCACAAGTGGGCCGGCGGATTCATCGTCTGGTTAAGGCTCCAGCCCGTTAGGACCTGACACGGGCACGGCAAGCGATGGAGACACAGTGTATGTGGTTTCATGGGTTGATAGAGCTGCAGAAGTGACAGAGATGTTGCAAACGCCGCTGAAGAACAGCCATACCGATGAGGGGCGTACTATCTGGAGGCGAATGCGGTGGAAATCCGCGCAGCAAGCTTAGATTCAGGGCGGTGGGCGTACGCAGGTTCTCACATATTGTCCGAACATCGTTGAGAGGGTGACGTCATGGCCGTCTTAAGATCAATGGGGTACGAATTTTCTCTGCGGCAACCTGGCACATGTTCGTACGTCATGCGTGTGACTGGTATTCTTCGGCGAACTCGCCACCCACCCGCCTGTGTGCGCCAGTCGTCGTAGAGTTTCCGCCGCGTTGTAGAGTTTGCTTTCTGCATCTCGTTGTCGCCGACTTGAGCGTTGGCAGCTCGGTGCCCTGACACGCCCGCTTGTCAAACGGCGCCAATGCCGACAACCTGTATCGCGCGTGGAACGTGATAATTCGTCGCTGAGGCCCCTCTACGCCAGGGCCTGGTCCTTAGGCACCCGACCACCACGATTGACTCGCACTGTCAGTCTCGCGGTAAGCCCAGGGAAGCTTGCTGGGTCCGCGGGAAAAGGCAGTGCTGATGGATCCTACAAGCCTCGTCAGAAATATCCAGAAATGGAAGTTGAAATCCTGGAGCACGATGCTTTCGGGCACTTGTCAGAAAGCGCGTTCTTCAATGTTGAGAGGGTGGGGTCGGTTTTTAGACAACTCCGCGTCCGAGTCAACCGGCATCAGTCAGCATTGGAGTAGCGCTGACCCCACAATCACCGAATTCTTAAGTCTTCTGTCTATTTTTGACGAGGCTTGTAGGTGCAGCGCAGGGCGCGAGGGAGTGGACACAATCGGGCATGAACAGTGCGGCAGCCCTTCCAAATCAAGGGTACCCGGGTTGATGGGCTTGTTTCCCACCACCACCACCTTAAGTTGGAGGTGGAGGGGTCCTCCTCCTCTTCCTCCTCCTCCTCCTCCTCCTCCTCTCCGTCCTCCTCGTCCTCGTCCTCTTCCTCCTTCCCCCCTCCAACTCATGGTGGTGGTTGCGGAAAGCAGGCCCATCACGGGTGCCCCGCCCCTCGCGTCGCATGTCCTTTTCATGTCCACAGCACGGGGCGCCCTCGGACAAAAAGTCCTGGGTCCTCTCGGGCGCCATCGGCAGCCAGTCCCGATCGTAGCAAGGATGCGCCGAGGCGCGAGCAGCGGCGGAGCACCAATCCGCAAGTCGGAGGCACGCGCGAGTATAGCGAGTGCACGGGTGCGCAGGCAGCAAGCACGCTCTCGCTGACACTTGATGGTAGCGGCTTCTGTTGACTCTAGAAGGGGGTGCCGACAGACGGACTGTGCGAACGGACACGTACCTCTTATGCATGAACGCGGGGAGGGGATGCCTGCGGTGGTGGTGATGATGGATGGTGGTGATGATGCTGATGATGCTGATGATGCTAATGATGATGCTGATGATGCTGCTGCTGCTGCTGATGATGATTATTATGACGATGCTGTAGCTGATGATGTAGCTGATGATGATGCTGATGATGCTGCTGATGCTGCTGATGATGACAATGACGCTCCTGCTGACGATTGATGCTGATGCTGATGCTGCTGCTGATGCTGCTGCTGATGATGATGATGATGATGATGATGATGCTGATGATGATGATGATGATGATGCTGATGGTGGTGACGATGATGCTGAATTATCAGGTCCATACGAGGCCTCGCCCAACTCACAGTTCATTACAGACGGGTCGTAGGATTATTTGGAGATCTATCGTTCTTTCGTCTATACTCGTGGCCTTCGGATCATCACGCCAGTGTGCCTGGGTTGTGGGTCAGATGTCTCTTGGATGCGTACGGGGATTTCCTGGGTGACCTTTCGGAAGCATCTCGGGGGTCACCTCGGGGACCTATTTGGGCCTGATTTGGACATATTTGGACCGCTTGGCTGTTGGCTACCTCTTGGGGCTTCCTGAGGGCCGTGTGGGACCCTGCTGGCGGTCTCAGGGGTCATCTTGGGGCTGAGGGCTCGCAGTGTTGGTATGAGCCCTCCCTCTTTGACCCCTCTCGGGGCTTCTTGGGCCGTCTTGGGGGTTTCTTGGGCCATCCTGAGGTCGTGGTCCGCCTTGGCGCCCTCTTGGGGGCCTCTTTGGTGGTCTTGGGGCGACCTTGGGGGCCTCTTGTGCAGCCCTGGAGCGTCGGAGGCTAGAAAAGGCGGGAGAGCTAAAATCTTGCAGACGCCCAAGGGGGAGCAATAACCTTGGCCTCTTGGGGTCCTCTCGGGAGTTCCCTTGGAGCCCTCCCGGGGCGTTTCGGGGGGCTTCTCGCGCTGTCTTGAGACCAGCTTCGGCATCTTGGAGCGCTCCTCGGCCGTCTCGGGACCCTCTGAGACCAAGGTCGCCTTCGCGGGCGCGACGTCGTTCGCGCTTCGCGCTTCGCGGTTCGGCTCCGATTCCTCCCTCTTCATTCTCGTCTTCCGTTGGGGGCGGCGCGAGAGCGCTTTGGGGGCCCTCGTGGACCCTCTTGGGGCCCTCTTGGAGCCCTCTTTTTGCGTCTTGGGCCCCTCTCTGCCTCTGGCAGGGTTTATAACGAGCACGCGCGAGGAGCTCCGGGAGCGCCCAGGAGCGCCCTGAGCTCGGGGCTGCGGGTCCATGCAAGTATCCTGGCGCTCTGGGCACGGAGGATTCGCAGGGGGCCTGACGACACTCCATTCACAGGCGAGGTTCTCCCCCCCCCACCCCCCAGGGACGGGGGGGCTCCAAATTTTTAGTCCACGCGACACCCCCACGAATTCCGGGATAGGGGTCGACATATCCCCTGCTATCCACTCTGGGCCTCGCGGCACGGTGGCGGAGTTCGGTCATGTAGCAATGTCTGAGACCTTCGCATCGCTCGAACTTGTGCATTCTTTATCGGCGAGGACTATCGAGGAGCACCTTGGATCATCTTGCGACAAATCTGCGCACGAAGCCGAACGACTCACGGAGAATGGGTGTGCGAGCGCTGGCAAGGAGACCCCAGCCACTCCCGACTGGAGACATCATGACGACCGTGTGCCGCGAGCATTGGCTCTCCATTCGAGCCCGAGCAGACCGCTCGCAGCTGTCGCCTCCTCAGAACTCCTGGGGCAACACGTCTGCAGGGGTGGTGCCCTTCTCCGGTCGACGTGCGCGTATGTTCCCCCCTCCACCTCCAGGGGGCGCTCCTCCTGGCCGGGCGCGCGCGCGCAATTCCGGGAATGGGTGGGTGGGAGAACCCGCACCCGCACGGCTGCGTCGGGGACCACTGCTTCGAGGCAGCGTGGGCGGCTTTGGCAGAGCTTGGCGCTTCCGTTGTGGCGACGCCCAGCGGTTCGGAGGTTCAGGGGAGGTCCAGGGCACCTCAGAACCGACGTGCTTTGGAGAGGGGTCTTCAGGGCCGTCTTAGGGCCTCCCGGGGGCCAAGTCTTGGCGCGTGCACTGGCCAGAACCGTGGCCCGTGCGGCGCTTTTCTTTGGGTAGTGAAGTCGCCGTGGGGGCACGATCTGGCCCTCCCAAGTGGTCAAGGAGGAAGGTCGAGTCGTGCTCGAGGAGGTAGTAATGATGGTCGAGTGGTCGTCTTAGAGGAGGAAGAGGAGGAGGGGACGCGGAGGCAAGAGGACGTCGGAGGAAACACGAACAATTGAGGAAAGGAGGGGGAGGAGGTGGCTGAGCAGGAGAAGGAATCATACAATATACGTAATGAGGAAACAATGTTGACTTGGGAGGAGGAGGATAAGGTATGATAATGACGACGACGATGCTGGTGGTGGTGGTGGCGGTGGTGGTGGTGGTGATGATGATGGTGGTGGTGGTGCTGCTGCTGATGATGATGGTGGTGATGCTGATGGTGATGATGATGGTGATGATGTTCATGATGATGATGCTGCTGATGGTGGTGGTGATGATGGTGATGATAACGATGACGTAGACGATGACGAAAACGATGCTGCTGCTGACGATGACGACGATAATGCTGATGACGCTGATGATGTTGCTGATGCTGATGCTGATTCTGATGCTGCTGCTGATGATGCTGATGATGCTGATGATGATCACAATGGCGATTACGACGACGATGCTGCTGCTGATGATGATGATGATGATGCTGATGGTGATGATGGTGGTAGTGATGCTGGTGATTGTGGTGGTGGTGGTGATGATGATGATGATGATAATGCTGATGCCGATAATGATGATGAGGCGGACGTGCGGCTTCCCGGCCAGTGACGTTCCTGACGCCCAGTCGGAGGTGCTGGCATGCAATCTTCTGACACCTTCAGCGGGACGTCTAGTCTGCCAGCCATCGGTCTGTGACGACCTGGTCGGGGTTTTTGAGGTGGGGATCTAAGGGAAGGGGCCTCAAGGACAGGACATGGTTTCCAGGTTGACTTTGCACGATTCAGGGCATCCTCGCCCTGGGGTCCCATGCTGTGGCTGATTTTCCTGTTTTTTAATTATTTGTTTGTCTCATTCTCTCTCTCTCTCTCGCCTTTACCGTCTTTGTAGGTCTTTGCACCCTTCCTCCCCCCTCTCTTCTTCTTCTTCTTGTTACTATGTTCCTTCTTCTTCTTTTCCCCCCATCCTCCTCTTTCCTTCCTCCTCTTTTTCTTCCTGTTCCTGTTCCTCTTCTGCCGCCTCCTTATCGTCCTTCTCCTCGGGCACTCAAGCGTCTGCGTCGACCTTTTCGACTTCCACCTCGACCTCGACCTCGTCGACCTCGATCTCGACCTCGACCCCGACCTCGACCTTCACGACGACGACGACGCCGCCGCCGCCGCCGCTGCCGCCGCCTTGAGAGGTGTGGAGCTGCCTGGGCATGCAGGAGCCGGGGGACGCAAACTGCACAAACGTGTTGGTGAAGCTTGTGACAATACCGTCCCAGATCCTGATCCGCGGAAGTCCCCAGACGTCCCCGTCCCTGGAGGGCCTGGAGGCCTTGGAGGCCTTTGGAGTCCAGGTCCCCCAGACGGGGTGAGAGCAGATGGGGTCGGAGGCTCGCGCCGCATCGCCGATGTGGCTCGATGTGGGTGCCGATTTTCTCCACGCTGACGGCGCCTGTGCACTGCCGACGTCGCCGATGCATCGCCGATGCATCGGCGATGCATCGGCGATGCGGCGCGATCCTCCGGCCCCATCAGCTCGGGCCCCAGCTGAGGCCTCCAGGCGCCCGCAACCAATCCTCTGGCCCGGGGTGCGTGCGCGTGCCCTCCTGGCGTGGCCACGCCGAGGCTCCGCAGGCTAGGGGCGCACCGCGCCTGGGCCCAGGAGGGGCCCCGCCGGGGTGGGTGCTGCTGCGTGCAGTTCTGGTGGACCCTCGAGGGGGTCCAGCTATAAGGGGTGTCCAGGCAGTAGATCTGGTGCAGCAGGTCTGTGGTTTGCAATCGATCAGGGGCGTGCAGTACATCCTGGGGCAACAAAAAGTATTGCGGGGCTTGCGCGTGTGATGCATCGGGTGCAATACAATGCAATGCCATTTTCCGGCGCAGTACATTTGCAGCACAATTGCCCCTAAGCCTGTTTCACCTTCCACTTTCAGCTGGAGCCCCTTTTGGGGCAACCAAAACAGAGAAGATGTCTGAACGAGGGCCGCTGCCTTGGTTTCAGAAGCTGCTCGAGCTCCTTCTTAGGGGCGGACGAAGGGGGGGGGCAGAAATGTGAGGGAGCGAGATCTGGTGAATGCGGCAGATCTCAGCCCCGTCGTTTGGCAGCTTTCTACATGGCCGATCCACGTCGCCGGGAGGCAGCCGGGAAGCCAGCTGCATGCGGCTGCTTCGCCAGCCGCATCGTTGTCGCAGCTCTCCCTCCTCGTTCCCGACGACCCTCCTTGGGCTTCTCCATCGTCGGGCGACGAGATCTGCGGTGCACATGCCCCCCTGGCCAAGCCAGGGGAGCGTACACACCGTTTTTGGGCCTAGGATGGGCCTTGGCAGGGGCGGCTGATCTGAATCGAAGAAGCGCCATCCTAGCGACGGGCCCCCCCTCGGAACATAATCTGCGCGGTCCGTCGCCAACTCGGGCGGCACCCGTCTCGTGCTTCGGGGGTGCCTTCCCCGATCGGTGGACCTGGTGTGCCCGCGCAGACCCACGTATCTGAAATCCATGTTGGCGCGCGCCCGAATGTATGCGGTCAGGAACTTTGGGATACAGTGCCGTTTTTAATACATGCTCCGCGTGCGGATCATGTGTTAAAAGTGCAGGGATTTAGTATTAAGAACAAGGAGGAGTTCATGCATTCAATTCATTCATAAATGCATCATGTATAACACATTTTTTTTTTTTTTTTTTTTTTTTTTTTTTTTTTTTTTTTTTTTTTTTTTTTTTTTTTTTTTTTCAAAATATTATGTATTAGACAACTGCCCTGTAGTGTGTCGCTCCGCTGGCGCTGGCCCACCACGTCTCGCCGCGACACACGCTATCCACGTCCCAGTCCTCCAGCGCCCACGCCCCGAGCCTTTCCGAGCCTCCTGCCCCGCGGAGCGGACTGACACGCTGTCCGCTCGCACGGCATAGCGTGTCGCCGGGGCCGTCGTTTTTTTTGTGTTGTTTGTTTTTGTTGGTTTGTTTTTGTTTTTTTGGTTCTTTGTTTTTTGTTGTTTTGTATCACGGCTTGTGTTTTGATGGCCCTGGGACATGTAAACGGCCTCAGATATCGAAGCCGAGGAACAGCGCCGGAGCTGAGTAATTAGCGATCTCGAGGTCGGAGGTCTGGGGTGGGCGCCTTTCCACGAGAGCCCCAGGCGCTCCGAATTCGTTCCGTCCCCCTGCTCCCCTGAGATCGCGCTCCGCGTGCGCGTCGCCCACAACCGAGGCGCCTCTGTGCGACGACGGCTTTCTGTGTCCGCTCCCGCTTCCGTCGGGGGCGTTGGTCACCACCTAGCAAACCAGCCCAATCCAAACCGAAGGCCTCAATTTGCGCTCCACTTCCAGTGGGGGGGTGGGTGGGGGTCGGGGAACACTGAGAAAACACATATGGAACCCGTACCCTCCCCCAACCCGAACTTCTCGGGTCTTCGGGTGGAGTTGGGGTTGGTTTGGCAGGTAGTCAGTGGAAGCGCGGGTGTGGGCATATGCGGTGGGGCTCGGATGAGATCATGCCAAGTGCCAGGAAGCCTCCCAGCTTTGGTGCCCGTCTCGTCTCGTTTTGTCGTCGTCGTCGTCGTCGTGGTTGTTGTTGTTGTTGTTGTTGTTGTTGTTGTTGTTGTTGTTGTTGTTGTTGTTGAACATTATTACTTCTAAAGAATAATTATTGTTGGGACCCCTGGTGCACGACCCCCCCGCCGCGCCTAGGCCGCAGCCTCATTTTCATCATTTTCGTGAGGAAGTCTCAGGCAAAACGGGGGAGTCCGGATCCGGTTGTGTTGTTACGATCGGTTTTCCCTTGCAAAAAATAAGCTAAAGTGGACATTTCTTGTTCTAACATAACCAAACTTCAAGAATCCCTTGCAAAAAATAAGGTAAAGTGGACATTCGCGCGCGCAAGACGAAATCCTTCCAAAACCTTAGTTTTCGTAGCGATTTTAACATAAAAACATCAAAAAACCAATGGTTTTTCAACAAAAAATTGTCAAAATCTCATCCCGCGCGCTCTTGCGGATTCGTAGGAAACCCAACACTTTTTAAACATTTCTGTCAAACGGGCTTTTGCGAGCAACTTTTTCGAACTTCTGCGACAACGGTTGCGCACCTGCCAGGGCCATCATCCCTGTCAAATAATACCATGCGGGACACATTCGTTTTTTCTTCGCGCGCGCACGCCGTCGTCGTCGGCCGCGGGGCCCTGAATAGTAGCCACGGTCGTCCGCATGCCACGAAGTGAAGTGTCCGAACGTCATAGGGCGGGAAGCTGGGTGTGGGTGGTGGCGAAGAGTCGTTTGGAAATTTGGTAGAGCTTGAACCGGCCCCCCCACAAAGTGGGGGTATTGCCCGCCTCCTATGAAAACCCTGGCACTGGTGAGAACGGAGTGTCCCCACGTGCTAGTAATTGTTGTTGTTGTTGTTGTTGTTGTTGTTGTTGTTGTCGTCGTCGTCGTCGTCGTCGTCGTCGTCGTCGTCGTCGTCGTCGTTGTTGTTGTTGTTGTTGTTGTTGTTGTTGTTGTTGTTGTTGTTGTTGTTGTTGTTGTTGTTGTTGGTGTCGTTGTTGTTTTGTTTGTGTTTTGTTTTCTTTATCGCACAAAACTCCCCACTGGCCCCCCTCGTCCGCGCACATGTCTCGGACTGCGTGCGCTCATTTCCCCTCCTGGCCCTCTTCCCCGTCCTTTGATGGTACACCGCGACGCAGGACAATCATCCCCTTCCTCCTCCTCCTCCTCCTCCTCCTCCTCCTCCTCCTCCTCCTCCTCCTCCTCCTCCTCCTCCTCTCCTCGTCCTCCTTGTCCTTCTCCTGCGCCTCCCTCGTTCCCGGCTCATCCGGCTCAGTCACCCTCCCCCTCGATGGACCGAGCCGCGGCCGCGCTTGCGGGAGTGCGTGGGTTACGTTGCATCTTCGGGGGACCTCGCCTGTCCCCGAAATTGGTGTCTTTTCTTGTGCCCGACGCGGGCTCGATGCGGACTCGACGCAGATTTGGCGTGGATTCGACGCGGATTCGACACTGATTCGACACGGATCCGACGAGGCCGACATGGGTTCGACACGGATTCGACGCGGATAGGGCCGCGACGGGACAGACGAGGTTCCCCGATGATGCAACCCAACGTGGGCTGCGGCGTGAAAAGAAAAACCGGCTGCGAACGGTCATGGTGGCTGACGTGCGCGCGCGACGCCTGCAGTCGGCACGGACAGCACGAGCTGAGGGCTCCGGCACCCCGCGCAGGCGTCCGATAGGGGGCCACATGCGAACCCTGCCCCTACTCCCCACGGGTTCCGGGGGGCAGGGTGGGGTTCACTTCGCTCGGGAGCTCCCGAGCGAAGTGAACCCCACCCTCCACCTGAGAAATCGTCGGGGGCAGGGGTAGGGTTCGCCTGTGGCCCCCCAATCCGAGGGCCTCGCCGCTGGCGGCACAGCCCGCTCGCCTCGCCGCGCAGGGCCGCCCCTGCTCCGCTTCGCTGCGATTCTGTGCGCGGGCTGCGCCCGCGACGCCACTTCGCTTCGATTCGGATCGACTCGCGGGCTTCGGCGGGGGCCACCCGGGGCCGGGCGCGGCGGTCCGATCTCGACTCGATTTTGAGGGAGGAGGGAGGAGGGAGGAGGGAGGAGGGAGGGAGGGGGGGAGGGGAGGGGGGGAGGGAGGAGGGGGAGGAGGGAGGAGGGAGGAGGTTCGTTGGCGATCCGGTCCATGGCCGATTCGATCCGATTCCGTGATTCGATCTGGCTCAGGCCTGCTTCGCCCCTTCTCATGGGCTGTCCACCAGCGCCCATGTTCCCTCTTGAACGGAAGCTCCCCTCGGGGTCCAACAGCTCGCGTCACACCTGTGGCGCCTCCTGTGCCCTGCCTTTACCCATTTTTCCTCCCGTCCGCGGACGATCTGTGTGCACCGTACCGCCTTGGCGTTTCCCAAGGCGTCATCGATCTTCGACTCACGAACGGTACGGTGCACAGCTTATCGACCCTTGGAGCCAGCAACAACCACCGTAATTACCTCGCTGGAATTCGCCGGCCCAACGGGCCAGGGCGTGCTAAGATCTCCGGTAACTGGTTAACAGTATTAACAGTATTTCTAGTTCGCGCGCGCGGGGCGGCCCCTGGGGGTCCCCCGGCGAAAAGTACCCCGACCAACGCCCGGTCGCCGCCCGACCGCCGCCCGACCAAGTCTACTCAGAGATGGTTTTCCTTCTGGGTGCGGCCTCTCAGGCTCCCCAGAGCGCGCTCAGAGTGCCCCAAGAGGCCCCCAAGACTGCCCAAGAGGCCCCCGAGACGCCCAAAGAGCGCTCGAAGACGCCGAAGATGACCCCAAGACGGCCCAAAAGGCCCCCAAGACAGCCCAAGAGGCCTCCAAGACGCCCCAAGAGCCTTCCAAGAGGCCTCCGAAGAGAGCCCCAAGAGGCCAAAATCGTTGATTTTCATGTGTTTTTTCGATGTTTTTTGTGTTCTGGCTTTTTCGGCTTCCGGACGCTCCAAGACGGCCCAAGAGGCCCCCAAGACCGCTCCAAGACGGCCCACGAAGCTCCCAAGACGGCGCCGAAACGACCCAAGAGAGCCCTCAAGACGGCCCAAGTGCCGCCCAAGACGGACCAAGAGGCCCCAAGACGGGCCCAAGAGGGACTCAGGAGGGATACCGAGAACTCAAAAATGGAGCCCTCCGTCCCAGAAGGCGCCCAGGAGGTCCCAAAGAGGCCCCAAGAGGCCTCCAAGAGGCCCCAAGATGTCGCCAAGAGGCCCCAGGAGACTCCCAGGAGGCCCAAAAGAAGCCCCAGAAGGCTTCAAACATGTCTCCCAGGCGCCCCCGAACGGCCTCTCAACAGACCCCAAGAGGCCCCCCAAAGAAGCATCTTGACGACGACTCTATTTCGCCCCATCGAGAGACGACCCCCAGGGAACTGCTTCACCATCAAAACTCCCCACGCAACGCGTCCGAACGACACCCGCCCCCAAGAGCGCAACATGGGCAACGAACACACAGACAATTATCCCTGGCAAAGCAACCTAACAGCGATGTGTAGAAGCATATCTGAAAGCATTCCCCTTAAGATTCAGATGAAAATCCAGTTGTCGAATTCTGCTGTTCTCGCAGTCGTAGTCGCATTCGCGATGACAGTCGCAGCGGCAACGGCAGTCGCAGTCACAGCCTCAGCCTCAGCCTGCCTCCTCCTCCTCCTCTTCTTTCACCTGCTCCTCCTCCTCCTCCTCCTCCTCCTCCTCTTCCTCCTGCTCGTCCTCGTTCTCGTCCTCCTCGTCTTGCTCGTCCTCCTCCTCCTGGTGCTCTCTCCTCCTCCTCCTCCTCCTCCTCCTCCTCCTCCTCCTCCTCCTGGTGGTCCTCGTTCTCCTCCTCCTGGTGCTCTCCCCCCCCCTCCTCCTCCTCGTCCTCCTCCTCCTCCTCCTCCTCCTCGTCCTCCTCCTCCTCTTCCTCCTCCTCCTCCTCCTCCTCCTCCTCCTCCTGGTAGTCCCCCCCCTCCCCTCCTCCTCCTCCTCATCCTCCTCTTCCTGGTCGTCCTCGTTCTCGTCCTCCTCGTCTTGCTCGTCCTCCTCCTCCTGGTGTTCTCTCCTCCTCCTCCTCCTCCTCCTCCTCCTCCTCCTCCTCCTCCTCCTCCTGGTGGTCCTCGTTCTCCTCCTCCTGGTACTCTCCCCCCCCCTCCTCCTCCTCCTCCTCGTCCTCGTCCTCCTCCTCCTCCTCCTCCTCTTCCTCCTCCTCCTCCTCCTCCTCCTCCTCCTCCTGGTACTCCTCCCCCTCCCCTCCTCCTCCTCCTCCTCTTCCTGGTCGTCCTCCTCCTCCTGGTCGTCCTCCTCCTCCTGCTCGTCCTCCTCCTCCTCCTGCTCGTCCTTCTTCTCCTGCTCCTCCTGCTCCTCGTCCTGCTCCTGCTCGTCCTCGTCCTCCTGGTCTTGCTCGTCCTCCTCCTCGTCGTGCTCTTGCCCCTGCTGAAAATGTGGCCCAGGAATGGGAGTTCTGGGAAGTCGAAGAGCACGAAGTTGCCTACAGTTGGCTACGGGCATTCAAAATGTGGCCCGGGAATGAGTTCTGGGAACTCGAAGAACACGAAGTGGCCTACAGTTTGCTCCGGGCATTCAAAATCATGCCCAGGAATGGAGTTCTGGGAACTCGAAGACCACGAAGTGGCCTACAGTTGGCTCCGGGCATTCAAAATGTGGCCCGGGAATGGAGTTCTGGGAAATAGAAGAGCACGAAGTGGCCTACAGTTGGCTCCGGGCATTCAAAATGTGGCCCGGGAATGGAGTTCTGGGAACTCGAAGAGCACGAAGTGGCCTACAGTTGGCTCCGGGCATCCAAAATGTGGCCCGGGAATGGGTTCTGGAACTCGAAGACCACGAAGTGTATGACTGTTCAGTCATCCGGCCCTCCAGAAATGGTGGCCCGGAATCTTCTGGGATCTCGAAGAGCACGAAGTGTGTGACTGTTGCATCCGGTTATTCAGAATGAGCCTGGGAATGGAGTTCTGGGAACTCGAAGAGCACGAAGTGTGTGACTGTTGGTGAAAAACGAGGTGGACTCAACCCGCCCGGCAACTCCCAACACCTGCCCGGACCCCCCTGTGGAGTGATCTGTGAGCTGTTTTTAGCCCACTAGAAACCTATCAGTCTTCGCTGTTAGGTAAAAACCAGCGATGCCATATCACGGGCCGGCGGAATGAGCGAAGCGATTCAATAAAGCCTGAAGGGAGTTCAAGCATGGTACGGAGCACAAGCGCCGTTCTCGTATCCCTATAGGTTTGAGTGCATGTTTTTCTTTCATCGTCCTCGTCGCCCCCGAGCTTCTGCAGGAGGTGACCTTCCGCGTCCGCGAGCCCATCGTCTCGCTCAGCGGGGCCGTCCTGCTCACCGTCGGCGTCGTGGGCGTGCTCCGGGCTCGTGCCCAGGCCCTCCCCCCTCCTCGTGGCGAGAGGAGGAGGAAGATGGGGAGGAGGAGGAGGAGGAGGAGGAGGAGGAGTAGGAGGAGAAGGAAGAGGAGGAGGAGGAGGAGGAGGAAGAGGAGGAGGAGGAGGAGGAGGAAGAGGAGGAGAAGGCGGAGGAGAGGGGGAGGAGGAGGAGGAGGAGGAGGAGGAGGAGGAGGAGGAGGAGGAGGAGGAGGAGGAGGAGGAATAACAACAATACTATGATTAATATTATTTCAATAGGAATAACATTAACAAAACCAAGCGTACTAATACTAATCATAATATTCAACTGAAGAATAATATTACTCAGAGTACTAAACTGACGGCTAAACATATTAGTACTCATACGGCAAGTAATAAGAAACATCAAGCATTTGTACCTGGACCGTGCCCTGCCATCAAGATCGCTCGAAAGCAAGGATATCTGCCGTCACTGTAACACCTTTGTGCTTCGGGTGACGACCCTTTAAAATGACAGCCCACCTGTCCTTATTACTTCTCGTGGCTCCGTTCGTCCCCAGGCACTGTTCACCCAGGATCTGGAGGGGGCCCAGCGTAGTGTAGGCTTTGCACGAGGTACACACGAACATCGGACTCTCATCGGAACAGTCAAGAGAACGGAGCGTATGCTCTCGCTCTTTCACCCCAAGAAGGGCCAAGGGAACCTCCCCAGAGCAACCAGAAGGTGAGGGGCGGTTATCTTGACGCTTGAAGCGCAAACAGGTGTCACACCTTCAATACGTTTTGCACCATGACCACTCGTGGTCGATTGTGGGAGCACAAACTTTAGCCACCTTCGGGGCCTTAATCAATTCAACGCCTGACACATCGAGTCGTGGCCAAGCTGGGAGGAGCCGTGGTCCAAGCTTACTCACTGCCTTGCACACTCGAACCTGCCAGTCCAAAAACTCACGTTCGCTGTTAGTCGGACTCAGGTGAAGCCGAAGACCGAGCTTGGCCACACTGTCAGCCGAGTCATTGCCTGCTTTAAAGAAGGCGTCCTGAGCAGAGTGGACCACTCCATCCAGAACATGGGCCTTGAATTTCTTGAAACCATCCCAAGGGGATTGCCGAATACATCATGGCAGCATCGGGGCGCTTATAGGAGAGCTGAATAGCCTTGGGGACACACTTAGCCTTGAGCAGTTCAGAGTGCCCACGAGACGGCCCATACATACATTGAGAGGCAGCCTCTGAAGCCCCAAACTCACCCGCTTGGCTGGTTTGCGGGGCCCAGATAGGCCCATACACAGAACACAGAAGTTCCCCAGACTCCGAATGGGCTGTCAACTGCCAGCTTGCTCGAGATAACTATCTAATTAATGCTACGCTCACAGCTACCGTCCATGAAGATGTCCCCCGAAACGTTCGTGTCCTCCCTCTCTGGATCGCCAGCCCAAGAACCACACACACCACCTCCTTTACGAGGACGAGGCCAGACATCACCTGGGTGAGGGAAAACCGCCATAGCGTACGCGTCCATTAATATAGTTAAGCTTGCTATTATTATTCATAATCCAATCACTGCGCATCTGACAACTAATAACATCATGATGGGAATCTTAAATGTATTCATCTTATACAGCAATATTATTATGAATCAATGGTGGTAATATTAATCGTATCAATGACGACAGTGATAATATTACTATCGTTAAACATCTGTAAAAATTGTAAACCTGATATGGTATACCCAAAATCTTAAGTATAGCACTTACGACGCTGATTATCTTAATACCATTAAGTACGATAACAGTAAGACCAATTTAAATCCATACAATTGCTAGCATGAAGTAACACTCATACCATACTTACCATAACGGATTAGATGATTAAATAGGTAACATAAAGTACAGCCAGCGTTGATTCCAAATAAATTAGACGACTCAAATCGAGGACTCAGAGGAATCAAGCATGCTTGGAATCCGCAGCTCGGCAAGCAAGCAAACGTGCAAGCAAGCAAGCAAGCGTGCAAGCGCGCAAGCAAGCAAGCAAGCAAGCAATCGAGCAAGCAAGCAAGCAAGCAACCAAGCAAGCAGGCAGGCATAGGCATAGGCGAAGGCATATGAGCTAGGGGCGAGGCATAGGCATAGGCATAGCCATAGGAATTAGGGGGAGGGATAGGCATTTGGGGGGCGGGGGGCAACGGACCAATTAGTAGGGTTTGAGCTGGGACTCCTGTAGGGCAAGCCTATTTGGAGTATAGTGAGAATATTAAGAGTTATAGGAACAACAATCATACCAAGAGGAGGAGGAGGAGGAGGAGGAGGAGGAGGAGGAGGAGGAGGAGGAGGAGGAGGAGGAGGAGGAGGAGGAGGAGGAGCAGGAGAGCAGGAGCAGGAGGAGGGAGGAGGTGCAGGAGGAGGAGGAGGAGGAGGAGGAGGAGGAGCAGGAGGAGGAGGAGCAGGAGGATGATGATGAGATGATGATGATGATGATGATGATGATGATGATGATGATGATGATGATGATGATGATGATGATGAGGATGATGAGATGAGGAGGAGGAGGAGGAGGAGGAGGAGGAGGAGGAGCATGAGGAGGATGTGAAGGAGGAGGGGGAGGGGGGGGGAGTGGGAGGAGGGGGAGGGGGAGGGGAGGGGGAAGGGGGAGGGGGAAGGGAGGGGAGGTGGAGGAGGGAAAAACAGGGAGAGGGGGAGGGGGAGGGGGGGGAGGAGGGGGCGGAGGATGACGAGGCGGAAGAAGGAGGAGGAAGGATGCAGGAAAAGGGGCTCTCCCCTCCCCCCTTCCCCAGCAGCTGAACTACCTGTGCCTGTACCTGGCTGCTTCGGCCGGCCTGCACTTCCTCCTGATGGCCGGAAGCCCAGCCGCGCCGCGCGCGAGGTGAGGCACTCGCTCCTCGCCTTGTTCGTAGTCTGCTTGCTTCGTTTCCCTCCCGGCATCTGGACTGCGAGGCTCGCCCGCGGAGCTCCGAGCCGATCCCATCCGATCCTCGGGGCACCCCTCCGCCGCGCGCCGGCGCCAGCGCGCGCTTGCGACGACAGCAGGTGCCGCTGCCGTCCGGTGCACACGGTGTCGAGGCGTGGCTGCGGAGCTGCGCCCCCACGCCGCCGAAGCGAGTGCGGACGGGAGCTCCTCGACGGCGCGCCGGAGAGCGGCAGGCAGGCGCCGATTTTCCTGCAGGAGCGCGCAGGAAGACGTCGGCTTCCTGCGTCGATCAGCGTCCCCGTTTACGGAGTACCCGTCAGGGTGGCGCTGACCACGGGCAGGCCAGCCACAACTGGGGGAGCTGTGGTCCTTACCCCCCTGGGGGACCCATCGATTTCGACACCCCTCTCGAGAGATCGTCGAGGCGATGGGTTCCCTCAGGGGGGTAAGGACCACAGCTCCCCCAGTTATGGCTGGTCGGACGGGTGCTGCGGGCATCCCACTGGATCTGCGCGCCAAGAGGCGTGCTGCGGGTGGGATCGCACCTTGCCTGGTTGAGCGCCGCCCCCGACCGATGGGGCCTTGGGCTCGGGTTGTGTCGATGCGGCGGCGACCCCAGCGCGAGCGGTCAAGGTTGAATGCCTCCAATGGCCTGGGATCGGCCGGCACCGAGCGATCCACGAGGCCGACGTCATCGCGACACAAGCCTGCCGTGTACAGCGTACAGTTGGTTCGCGTCTCGCCTCGGTCTTCCCTGAGATAATTCGAGGAGGGTGGCCATCAGTGCAAGTGGATGAACTCCTGCTGTCTGTCCGCGCCCTTGTCACCATCCCCTCCCGCGCTCTGCACGGGGAGGAACGAGAATCAATCTGTCGCCGCGCCGTTTGTTCCGACGCGCGGCCTTACGTTTTGGGGAGGGCGCCTCGGCCACTGGGGCAAACCTCCGCCTCGGACGCAGGGTTTGCCGTGAGGTTTGCCGCGGTGTCGCCGTCTTCCACCTTTGGGCGCGTCGAGGACAAACGGCGCGGCGACACATTTGTTTCCAGCGGAACCCGCCCACATCATGAAGTCGGGCATGTCCCTCTACAGGGGAATATTCAAAAGTAGTCCAACATAGTCTGGGGACGATGTTTCGATTCTTTTTCTGACCATTTCTGAATATTGTTAGCCTTTCTTTTGGTTTCGTCCAGAATCCGCCTGTAGGAGGACATGCCCGACCTGACCATATCACAGTCTGAAGGGTCCGTGGCTCCTTTGCGCGTCCCTCCCCGGCCTTGTGCAGGAGCCAGTGTGTGGGGCCATCTCTGGGGGGCCTCTCGGCCCGAGAGTGGGAGCCGGGAGGCGCCTTTGCGATCTCGTCGCGCCCCTCGCGAGCGTTTGCGTCCGTCACCGCAGAGGTACTTTGGCGACGCCGTATGCAGCAGGATCCATCGTAACGTTTGTGTGTGGAGGACTGGTACTGCAGTGTGCATAATACGTTCGGCTGCCGCCGAAAGTCTTGGGAGCTCTTCGCCCCCGGGTCGCGTTCCAGGGGCTCTGTCTGCTGTGTGTCTTCATCGGAGAAAAAGAAGCACATTACCCTGATTTGGGACCCCTGGGGAGGGGGAAGGGAGGAGGGGGACGGCCACATATTAATTATGAAGGGTCCGTGGCTCCTTTGAGCGTCCCCCACTGGCCGTGTGTAGGCAGGAGCCCATCTGGGGCCGCCTTGGGGGGCAATCTACGGCCAAGAGTGGGGAGCCTGGAGACGCACTTGCGATCCCGTCGCCGCCTCGACCCCCCCCCATTACCCTGATTTGGGACCCCTGGGGAGGGGGACGGGCGGAGGGCGACGGCCACACCTGTTGCTGCGCCTTGTGCTCCGACGCGCGGCCTT